ATTCACACAATCAATGCACTCTAAGCAAACACAAAAGAGACAAGTGCTCTGGGAGCGGAGCATCAATGCGTATAGTCGAAGATCGCCTCACTATCCTAGAAATCCTAGCGCAAACATGCGTGAATAATTTCTGTAGAGAAACCATGCGCAAACCATGATCTCGAAAAGACAAGTGGAATTGATTGAAAAATGAATGGAAAAATCAAAGTGAAACTGATATAAATACTTACATTTCTTCCCGTTGCCTATCTGAGAGGTTCATTTTCATGCCTCCCTCCTTTTTGTGCACGCTCGAGAATCGATATCACCAATCACAGCACGTCGTATTCGAGAGAATACCCGTTCTCCAACAGCACCAAATTTGAGCTGAAGTACACATGACAACTTGGACCTGCAGCGAATACGAACAGAGACAAGAAAAATCGATAGCGAGAAAGAGACTCCGAGTTCAGCTGAATGTGTGTTTCGCAATTCCATACGAAATCAATCATGAAACAATCCATTTCAAAGAATCAAAGCACAACAATACACTTTCAGAATGCATTTGAAGGACTTTCATTCTAAAGCACGGGGAAACATCTTTTGTTGAAGTAAAAACATACATGGAAATAAAGGAGTTGTGAAGAGACTGAGAGGAAAAAGAACAGCCAAACGAGGTATAGAAAGATCGCCAATCTCCAAGCGAAACAGCTTCGCTTATCGAATGCCTACACATGTGGCCTTACTAACCCCCATTTACATTTATATAACCTTGTACAACTTCCTAATGTCGAAAAAAACACCACCGGCTTCCTCAAACGAATCAACCTATCTAAGATCCATTTGTATAAAGTTTTAAGAGATAAAAAAATACAGAAAACTGCTCATATGTAGAACATCTAGAGGACAACCATTGAAAACATCCAGCAGTTAATTTATGCTTCACGTCCCCTTGCCACGGCATGTATCCGCCGCCTAATCAACTCACCGCAGGATCTTTTAATTAGGAAGGCACGCTCACCATGCATCCACACGATTGATTTACAATTCGGGCCCCTATGTTCGCTTCTATCAGATTCATTTGGCTCTCAATTTTACTCTACGTTACAATGCATGAACATAAATGGATAACATCACTGAAAGATCTCCATGCCTATCCAAGGATGACTAATTAAATGATGAATAATTCAAGAAGCTTTCAAAACTATCAATAATTAAATTTAGATATTGTGATACAGTGAATATGATAATGATAATTTCAACGAAAAAAGAAGCAGCAACGGTTTTCCGCGACGATAAGTGGTGACGCTGCTCTCATCCAAGAGCAGGCCACTAACAATAAAATTGAAGTTCTTCCTAAACAATGGGATGCCCTCTCTGCCACTTTTTTGGCCCTTGGTGAACCAGTGGAAAGCTGTGGCACTACTAGGAAAGCAATCAAAAACAGAGAACTTCTTCCAAAGTGGGAAAGATTCGGAAGATTCTCTGAAAAGATAACGTAATAAGGAAAAAAAGGTCATTTATTGGTTATAATGACATAAGCGCACCTGTTTATTCCCCTTTTGTCTAAAATGACTGGAGCAGATTGCACCAGGAAACAACACAAGTTACGGAAGTTCTTATTGGAATGATAGCCTTCCTTACATTCAAAACCCAAAACCATACACCCTCAATAAGCACGGTTGCAGAAATCATTTAATGCACTGGTATGACTCTAAATGGATGAAGGAGCTGACGCGCACGCGTCCAAATCGACTGGCGACAGTTCGAGAAAAAATAGGCATCCGCCGGCACTAATTGACGTCGAGCCGCTGAGAGACTGCGGATGTAGCAATATTACCTCGCATTGGTTTCTTGTATAATCGTTTTGAAATGAACCATTTTCATTAATAATAATGAAAGAAATTAAAAGGCACCGGTTCTAACGTAACGTATGACTGATATGCATCAACACTGCTGCTTATTTGATGAGTTAACCAAATAATGACCAAGGGCATAACCACAGGTTTCAACCAACTTGGAATAACAAAATATAGTGATAAGAAGTAGAAGAAATTGAGCGGCTGAGCTTTCAACTACATCTACCATTGATGGGCTCTCTAATCCCTCCCTTTACGCCACTAACTAGTGGATAAAAAAGGAGATGGCAAAGATTCNGTTTCTTGTATAATCGTTTTGAAATGAACCATTTTCATTAATAATAATGAAAGAAATTAAAAGGCACCGGTTCTAACGTAACGTATGACTGATGACATGAATAATGACCAAGGACATAACCACAGGTTTCAACCAACTTGGAATAACAAAGTATGGTGATAAGAAGTAGAAGAAATTGAGCGGCTGAGCTTTCAACTACATCTACCATTGATGGGCTCTCTAATCCCTCCCTTTACGCCACTAACTAGTGGATAAAAAAGGAGATGGCAAAGAGGCCCCTGAAGGTTTGTCCGTCTAAGATCTTTGCGCGGTGATTAGGGCGAAGGGAAACTTTCAAGTGAAGACCAGTCTAAGAGATAGTCAATGAGAGCATGCTGGGATAGTTTCCAAGGGGATCTCTAATGAAATCGTAGAGGCGGAAATTGAAATGAGGCAGTATCTCAAAGTGGATATGGCCAAAAAAATAAAGGCGTTCCCAACTTCACAAACAAAAGGTATTAAGTGACAGAAGCAAACTCAGAACCCCAAAAACTCCGCCTTCGAAAAGCTAATTAACAACTATGAATTGTACAGTCAAGTAGACACACTTAAGACGAGATTCATACTTTGAATCATTCGAATGTAGACCAAGAACTCTGACTACCCTCTTTTATGATACTGGTTAGAATTATTTACACCCTAAAATAAAGCACCTTCCGAGTCACCCACAATCACTGTTCAGACTCGATCAATACAATTCAGCGGCTGCAGTGGAGATAGCATCATATAATGTCCTACAGAATAATGAATGTAGGTGAATGTTACGAAAACAAAGAATAAACCGTAAACAGGTGATACGATGAATGGAGTTTTCTAAACGGAAGTACTATGCCCCGAATGAAAGCCCTTTCCCATCCGTTCATGACACTATTGTTATGTTATGCACTATGATGGCTCGCAGAATCGAGACCGAGAAATCCTACACCAAGCCCAAGGCAAGTGTCTAGATAACCGAGGTAAATGGAAAACGGCGAAACAGATACGCAACCAGCTGTAAAGGATTATCGATGATATTGTTGTGACAAACAATTGGCGGACAGGCGAATCAATCTAAAACTGCAGCGCAAACTCCACAGAATGACGAATTTGGTTTTTCGCAGCTTACGGGAAACACTTATCACTTTTTGCCGATAAACCGATCACGTTTTGAAGAAAAATACTACGAACGATCATGACTATGAATCGAACAGCATGCATATCTTCCCAACCGTGGGCCTTTCCTAAAAATATTCGTCGCACCAAGAATGTAAATATCATACCATGTCACAGACCGCAGTATTCACATCGATCGAAGCAAACGTTGCACAAAAGACTGAAGGCCCTCGAAATCGATTCGTACTTAGAAAACACAGAGCAGAACGTGCCGTCGTCCTCTTTGCGACGAGTGAACACAAACTCATTAATAACTAGGGCTAGAGAATGACATGTTCCAGCCTCGAAAACTCATCAAAAACCAACTTCTTTTCTTGCGAAAACGAATTCCTTTCAAACAAATCAGAAATTCGACGCCGCTGAAACGAGGACAAATGTTTTGGATGAAATTTCGCCTCTAGATGAAAAGGTTACCTTAACGCTTAAGACCTACCCATGGTTGTCATTTTGAACTACTCTTGTTCAAATTTCGATAAAACCCACCTGACTAGGGCAGGAAGAATCGAATTNTTTCGGCGTAAACGTAAACGGGTGGGAAACGAGGTAAAATGGTAACACTTGTAACATTAATAAAAGAATATGAAAACAAGATCAAATAAAACAACCAATGAATAATAACGAATAGTGGTATAGTAAAATAACTTGCTCAAGGTGCATGCGAATGAAGGAACCTAGAAAACCCGGCTGAAATACCGTCAAACTGCCTGTTTAACTGGTTGCAGCCTTCACAGTGAGGCTGTATACACCTCAATCGATACCAGGGAGAAAATACTAAGTATAGATTGCTTGGAAGTTTGAAACTGAAACTATCATTTCCGATTGGTAGTTTTGACTAGGTATTATTGTTAAACAGCTGAAGTCCAAGAACAGTGACTCACAAAAGGCTGACGTGGTAAGAAGCAAAGAATAACCGCTGCACTTCGTCCTTCAGTGAGACCAGTTACCTATCAGAAAACAATGATGATCATGAGACATTCACCCCTACATTGTAACTGTCAAGGACTTTTTAAAATGTTCTGACTCTTTACACGCCTTTGCAAAACGTTTGACTGCCCTCAGAAAAACTCGAAAAGATATGAAAATAAGTAAATAGAACAGAAAACAAAGAATGCCAAAGAAGACACATTCCATGCTGCACGTCCTTCNCAGCTCGTGCACGTCGCTTTCTTTTCTTGCTTCTTTTCACAAAACAAACGATTACAAACCAATGAACAATGGAAAGTACACAGAGCTCTCAGTAAGCACCAGCGCCTCAGAAGCAGCATCCCTGCAAACCTATCCGAAAATCTATTCGCAGAGGGAATCGATGAAATTCCAGACGTGGGCGCCTTTACGCTCCAATTTAACACTAATGGCCGATTGCTTATGAGGCGACAAACTCTGCAAACCCCAAATTATCGTTTAAAAAAACACAAAATTTTTGAAAGAGCATAAAAATGAGGTTTGTAGTCTCTCTGACAAGCGTTTTAAGTTCAGCGGCTCTAGGAAGCGACAATTTCTTCTGTAGAAAGAGCAAGAGAACAGGAACACATCAATAATTTTTGTAAGGACTTTCTCGATGTAATTAACCCAGAAATCATGGTTGATGATGAGGCCATCAAGCAAAAAATTTCAGGAGGGCTTTTTACTTAGCAATTTTGCTGTCGAAATACGAANGAGGAGAATCTGCATCTATGAATGGACGTCGACTGAATCATCATCTAACCCACGATATTGCCTATCAAATCGATAACCGGGAAGGTAGGACGATGGGTGTGGTGACAAAGATGAATCATCGTAAAGAGAGAGAGCAAGACAATGGAATGAACGAGGAGACCAGGCGGGTCGGCGGCACGGTCTCCAGCTGATCACCACCGAAAGGACCGGTGCTCGACGCTGGCCCTCCTACCCAACTACACTCTTTCACCATGCTCTAGTCAATTCAACGACCGCAACGCAGCCGCAGTGTCTACCGTAGTAGATATCCTGCGCATCAAAGGCGATTTAAAACTTCTGAAGCTTTTCATGTGGTAAGTTCCCGTGAAAAAACCGACCCGACAGCGGATTTCGGGCCAGAGCAGCATGGCGGTGTGCAGTTGAGGTACCGGTAGCATCGCAGCACTATTTAGCAAGTCATATTGTATATTTGTGCATATGTAGCACTTTATGTTCCAAAATTGATTAAAAGGGTTATAAGCGCACGAATGTCGATGTGAGAATCATAGCTAAGATCGGGTTATTTGCCACTTAGCGAATAAAATCAAGTCACAACAATTGAATGGTGAGTGTATAGGCCTATAAATCATTAATAAATCAAATGATCGGATTAGTTTGACGAGATATCGCAGAAGGAAACGGCAAAAGAACAAACAGCTGTCGTGGCTTCGTAACAATGGGTGTGAGCACAGCAGGTCTCATTCAGTGTGGGAGAGTCCAGTGAAAGCAAAAACTTCGATGAAAATCTCGTACGAACCAACATGAAAATATACTGAGTAAGAATTCGAAAACTCGTTCCATTTTGGGTGGTGTAAAGAGATTGGAAAGACGTCATGAGACCCGAAAGCCTCCTTCAGCGATTGCGGTAGCAGGAGCGAGTAGGTGGGTTGAGGTGACATTAGACGAAAATCGATTACCTCGTGAATAATCGACTCAGATAGGTACTAGAGAGAAAATTTCTATCAAAAAAAAAACATTAAGAAGGAGGGTTATCTTGGAGATTACTCAAACATAACCGAAGTGATTGAAATGGTTTATAGATGGTTCGAAAACTGCTAACACCCCTCCTCTTTTAAAGACTCAGGTAGTTCTATTGTCACAGTTTGGTTCTAACCAATGAGTATGTTTTTTTTTACCATTCTCTCTATGACTTATCCGTTTAACCAAGGCCACATCAAATGTACTATAAAGTAGTAGTATAAAGTACCTCACTCGAAGTCACGCGTGACGTCATGAAGTCGAATTAGTCCGCGGCCTTTTATAAAGACAGTTTAGAACAATTAGCTATTGCTAAAAACGATAATGACGAAATTTAGGTTTAATATCGATTTCATCAGTAAAAGTTGTTGCAGTAGAGAAAGTAAGAAAGGTGCCGGACAAAAACTTTGGAGCGCAGGGAGCACATCGAAAAGTACAGAACGGTCAATGAGCACAAGCCTTCCCACTTCGCTATGGTGTGGGTTGCTGGGTTCAGTGGTGATGTAGGATGTGTTCATTCTGTCTTTTTCTGTTGAGTCACCACAATCAAGTCAAACCGTAGAGGGAGCGTAGGATCCCGTATACTTCCTTCCCCTAGCAATGAGTCACATGACGCCCCTGTACATTCAAACAATGTCTGCCTAAAATCATTAGGTGTTTTTTCTTCTCAAGAAGAGTTGTTCTGAGAGGGCACCGCTTCAACCGAGTAACGTTGGGTATAATATTCCAGGCGACCATTTCTGTCTTTTACAAGTTTCGCACTCCACTCTCAAAAATTCCGCACATGGCTCACTTTGCTCACCTTCACCCTCAGCTGAAGCGTGGGAATCGTGCGACGTCCCACTCAATTCGCTCACTGCAGGTGGCATTTCTTAGCTAGATGTCTAACCTCACGGTATGTCGGTGGAGTCCAACGTCCTACATCCCAGAACAGGATCGCACCTTCATCGCGATGCCACTCTAAGAAACTCCTGTATACGATGACTGGGTGGAAAGAAACGTGTTTCATACTTCTAGAAAGCTTCCCTGATGCGATTTGACAGACCCGCAGAGTTGCGGAAGGTTAGAGTTGATCTGAAATTTTCTGACACTTTTTTGCAGACTTTTATATGCCTCCCATACCTTCTTGGCGCTTCATTGGGTAAATAAAACAGCAGGAGCAAAACTCCCCTGTTTACTTACCGAATTCGAGATATTATCGAGTAGTCGGTAGCCGAGGAGATTTGAGGTTCAATTATTCACTGAAAATTTGCAGTCAAACCCCCAACGAATCGAAAATTCCATAAGTCTTAGGACCGAGCACTTTTCGAGATGTTGCAGGTTATTTATAGAAATATTATTTGTCACGGGTTAGGTCTATAACATTACGTTCGAACACTTCCAGACTGATTGGTTTCTTTGTTTGGCAGGTGACTGGCTTCTTTTATCAGTTCCCTTATCACATCGACTATGAGGGACAGGAGCATTCCTTAGCCGGACTCATGTAGAGGTAAACATACACTGATGCGCCAAACTCCGCAAGTAGGGTCAGAGTAGCATTCGCTACTTACTAGAGAGTGGCTAGTTACTTTTATAATTATAATAAGTTTTGCAATTTCGAATAATTTTAACTACAGCACAGAAGACAGGAACGTTGGCACTCATGCCAAGGAATCGAGATTGTAACATTGTGTGATTTCAGGGAACATTGAGCAAAGGCAGTTAGTTTCGATGGGACGAATGAAGACGGTTCTGGTGCCTGCGAATCAGTAAACTACGGGGCAAAAGTTTATGCACGTATCAATGTAATAATCATTTTAGGCTACTTTAAATCTCGTTCTCGGAATTTTGCACGCCAACTTACAACCACATGCACAGATGCAAATCCAGACCACACACCAGACATGCGAAGGCTAGCTAACATTATATCAGACCGTTACGGCAAGGCCAGTTGGATTACTCTTCTAGTAACTGATCGTTTTTCTTTACCACAGCCCTCAGTAGAACAACTACTGAGCACATAGGTATTCGCCAGTCTGCCCAAGCATGGATAGGCGGACAGACGTATTCAAACAGACATAGGCAGGAAGGCAGACAAACAGTTGGATAGAGCAATAGTCAAGAGGGCAAACGGACAGAAGAAAAAGGCACGAAAAGAGACAGAGGAAATACTTTAATGCCTATTTTACTATTCTATCATGCACCACTGAAGTGAAGAGTCATGTGGGACAACTTGAACGCCCACTAAGGAGGCTTGCTACGAGATATCGACGAGACTCGATATCTCTCGATTGGGAAAAGGGAAAAATCGCAATACACGTAGCACACCAACCTCATCGGGACCAGAAATCGCATTGATTTCATTCAAATCTGAAATTTCCAACAACTGCATTGAAAGGAGCTATTTCACCATTGAACTAACAGAGAATAACTGTCTCAGATCCAGAAAATAAAAGAACATCGGTGGGGTTTGTCAAAATGGCGCAACCGCTTACAATCGCGCCGTTTGTGGAGTGTAGCCCGTAGACTGCGGTCACTGCGCTGTTGTGACGTTCTCAGAAAAAAGTTGCTTCCGCATCGTCGATTTCTATCTGTCTAGATGGGAACCGAGTAGTTTGTTGGAAAAACGAAAAAAGAATCAGAGATACAGTATGCAAAGGAGATATTTGATGAGATAGTCCTCCAATTTCAAATCAGACGAGGAGGAGCAGAAGCAATAGCAGGCCAAGTTGGATTTTACTAGATGCTCCCGGAAATATTTGTAAAAGGGAGCAGTATGTCGATAGGTTTCTTTGTTCGCTACTCTATATGGTCAGACTTCTACGTATTGTAAAAGGAAGACTCTCGAAGCACTAGGATGGTGAGAACTACAATTTTTTACGCAATTTTTTTACTGGGTGAATTCGCATTATCCAATGTCCATAGCTGTTATTGGAGAAATCCCACAAGAATCGCAGTTTATAGACTTCGGAGAAGTTCTGACATGAGAAAGAGCATGGGATGACAAATAAGTCCAGAAAGCAATTACCTGGAAGTAAAGGGCATTTCTAGTGTAGGGGTGACGTCAACCTTTGAAATTCGAACAATTAACTGGGCTTGATTGTTAAGTTTTTGATGTCCACGTTCCGACATTTCCTGGCTATTTATGGCCCATTTACGCATCCGATGCATTCGCCGCAATCTGTCTAGCCTCCGCCCATCTCTGGGTCGTTAGGCGCGAGCTACGTTCTCCGATAGACTCGTGAGTGATACGGCACACGGGCTGACATAGCGACCACCCACGACGGCTCATAAACTTACCTGGCTGGGAGGTTCTCGCGATCAACAAGGCGGGACCTCCATGGAGAGGCCTGCGCATTGCACTTTAGCCCAGGCTGACCTGTGTGGCAGCTCCGAATTGGGGTTCGCCAACAGCTAAATTTTTGTGTGAGGGGCTGCGTTCGCGCGGCCCTGCCAAGGACGAAATCGTAGGAGGAGCATGAAAGAAGATCCATTCGGTGGCTGCTTGCCTGCAGGGTTAGGCTTGACAATCTGCGGCATAGCGTTCCCGTGTGTTTTTTGTTTTCGAAAGTTTCATTCCATTCTAACTGTTAAATATTCAAGAGACAGGAAGCTACATTCCATACTTTGAAGGAAATTCAGGGTTGTACCGCTGAAGGCCATTTTTTCGATTCATGCAGTTGCGCCCATGGTCCGAGTCGCTTTCGCATTGGCCCACCTAATGACAGTGAAGATAAGGGCACTTAAACTATTTAACAATTTCATTTATCCAGTTTGCTATGAAAACTCTTTAAAATGGGAAATAAAACAAGTAGTCTGAGCAAACAAAGTAGCCACTAGCAAAATTAAAGGAATCGGAGATACGGTGCATCCTTTAATTGTTTGCCTGCCTTTTGGGCGGTATGGGACAGGTAAGAATGCTATTGAGACTGCTTTTTATTTTTATTGATTTTCTTCGGTTATTTACCCATGGATTATGCTTTGTAAGATTAGTTATGCATAAAAATGCTAATGACGAAACAGAAGAGATAAAGATCCACCACAAAATTGCTGTGGGGCGGACATAAGAGCTTTGAAAAAATAAAAAGTAATGAATGACGGAATAAAATCCAGCTGATTGGCACAAGCACCATGCGTATTTCCTACCTCCTTCCCCAGTTTGGCGAGACAGCACCCGGATAAGTCCCATGAAAATGTTGCAAATCACTTGCATGGGAAAGATCGCAGAAGTTTTATGGACAGTGTATTTTTCACGACAGGACTCCCGCTCTTTCGATGCTCGCTCATGGGATGTCAGCTCGGGAGTTACCTTGTTTACTAGTTCCTCCTGAATCGTCTCAGAATTGATTTGCACGCCCATTTGGGGTAGTTCACCGGTCACGTTTCAAGACATGAAAACTACAAGTATGCTGAAGTGCAAACGTGCTGGCACACGCCGATTTTCACTGTTTCGCCGTCTGCGCCTCTCAAAACGAATTGAAGTGCAAACACCTTAACTTACATAATGTACGGCACAATTTCACATTCCTCCCATTCAGGCGATAGCTCATAAACTTACCTGGCTGGGGGGATCTCGCGATCAGGAAGGCGGGACCCCCGTGGTGAGGCCCCACATTGCACTTTAGTGGAGGCTGACCCGCGTGGCAGCCTCGAGGTGAGGTTAGCCAACGGCTAAATTTTTGCGTGTGGGGCTGCGTTCGCGCGGCCCTGTAAAGATCGTTGTCTGGTTTGAAGGGAGGATAGTGGTCCCGCTATTAAGGGATAGTCAATCGTTGTTGAAGCCGATTCATTCCATCTTTGTACCAATTTTTTGAAGGCATATCCATGCATGCATTTATAGTTTCCGGTACTTTCCATTCGATTGAGATCTTAATTATTGCAAGCAACCCTTGACTACCCCTTCAGTCCACTGCAATGTTTTGGCATTCGGGGGGCTTACCTGAGAGTGATCAGGGGTCGCCTCTTACAGATGGATTCCCTACCGAGGGACAGTAAGAGTGATTACCGAGAGCATAAAGGGCTCTCACCTCACAGACGGTCAAACTGCACGTGAGTATCATGCTAGGAACCGTAACATAAGGGCCTCATTTCCCTGACCATAGCAACGTTGGGCAGACTGCAGGATCCTTCGGTAAGAAAGAACTTTGCAAGAGAAGGTGAAAGGTCCTTCGCTTCACGTGGTTGTCAACATGCTATGTGCTCCTTTTTCCAGCTATATATACTGCGTTTTGACAGGGAAGGTAATCGACCATTTCCAATTCAGCTTATCCTCTGCCCTCTTTACCCTCAATTTTTTGATCTGGCAAACTAAGAGCTTCTTGAAGGTGAGCTACAGTAAGTTTTCGACAGCTCCACTTCATAAATCTTGCCTTGAAATCACTAATTTTGCTGAGACAGATAAAAGAGATTTTAGGTTCGTCTTCATAACAATCAGCTCAAACGGAGGGAAAAGATGACGAGCTGTTTTTTTCAGCGTTTCATTGCTTGAATTGGAAAGGCACGGATTGACCAAGACGAAGAGGCATCGTCCACTACATGCCGTAATTATTCTTGGAACATGCAACAGCAGAGGCTTCGACAGCGTAGCTGTCCTCATCCGCACGCACTTGGCCATCCCCATCGATCTGAACAAAAGCAAGACAGCCTGAATTGGGTATTTGGGTGCTAGAAGATGCTCTAACAACGTCAACAGTTCTCATTGCCTAATCGCCAACATCGAAATATGACGTTTAGCGTTTTCTATGAACCTAGAGGTTGGCAACTGGATGGAACGGAATGAGCATGATGAATGTCCGAGTTTATCATTCTGACTAACACCATCCATGGGAAATATCGGTTCCAGAAGCCAGTCATTTCCCGTGTATTCTGAAGTCACCCAGTGAACAATTCCACAAAAAGGTTGAGTATTTCACTCCGATTGAAAGTTTTGATGCCAGCAATCTTCTGAACTCTGTGAGCCTGGCTCGGAACGTGGCTCCATGTCAAAGTTAGTGTATAGCTAAGCTATCAAACAGGTAAACAAGCTATCAAACAGGTAAACACATTTTTGCCAGGGCCGCGCGAACGCAGCCCCACACGCAAAAATTTAGCCGTTGGCAGACCTCACCTCGAGGTTGCCACGCAGGTCAGCCTTCACTAAAGTGCAATGTGAGGGCCTCACCACGGGGGTCCCGCCTTCTTGATCGCGAGATCCCCCCAGCCAGGTAAGTTTATGAGATGCCGGCAGAATGGAGGGCACGAAAAGGCGTGCCGTATGTTAAGCAAGCGAAGCCGCTGGACTTTGTTTCGTTTCAAGAGGCGCAGATCAGAAAAGTTCAAATGCACTTTCAGGACGCCCTCTTGTTAATGTTCCTTGTGAGGCCATTCCACTGCTGTTTGCGCTGAGATAATGCCCATCGTGATTCCATGGGTCTCGTTCTTTTGAGAGCCGGTATTCTTTTGCAATATGTGAATATGATTCCTTTGGTGTCGGTTCTCCGTTCAACTATGCACCAGGGCCAATCGATGCTCTCATTAGAACTCTATAACAGGAAGCAACTCTTGTTCCTCTAGTCACTTCTACACATTGAGCTAGCATGAAGCCTTTTGTCAAGAAGCGAAATCCGATGGTCTCCTCGTAGTGGAGGAAGGCTTGCGGGATTAAAGTCATGGAGTGAGTATGTTCCTCGATATCAACCGGGTGTTCCCCCTTACGGTATAGCCGATTAGGTATGCCCAGCCTGTGGGCAAGGTGGGATGGTTCACATTCTTCAACGCAAGAACACAGCGATGCAATCGGTTTTGAGAATACTGAGGGGCTCCAAAGGAAATGAGGAAGCGTTGTTATGCAACACTATATAACTGGAGTACCGAGTGCCTCCAAATGTGTAATGTCTGGGCCAAGTGTCTGGGTCTGAGTGTTGCAGGAACAATGGATTCAGTAATAGTAGTACTTACAAATGAACGAGAAAACTGTTAGAGGTCATGACTTCCTTGAACTATAATAATATTTCGATGGGCAGCTAGCTGATGTTGTGAAGTTGTTGCCGGTAGTCTTGCTCATATTTAGTGCTGATGAGTGGGATAGGCGAGGGAGAGCCTCTATGATTAGCTGCATCAGTTTTTTCTTGATCGTTTCTGCAGAATGTAGTTTCGCGTTGTATTAGGTGTCTCGCAGTAGTGCTGATCGCCTACCCTGTCTGCAGGTGAGGTTGGTGGGGCCTATTGGACTTCTCATCTTTTACTGTGCATCGGTTCCAAATTTCGGCAATTGTGCCGATATGGTCTGACCCGGTTGTAGTAAACTGGAGTGGATAACAACATATTGTAACCGCCGACAAATCCATCCTTCTCGTGCGATTCTTTACCTTTGTAAAGACTACGGGTAGGAAGACTTTTCCCAAGATTTCCCAAGCAAGTTAAGTCAGTGATTATCGTACAGAAAACATTCTTCATCTACAGCTATCATAAGATCAACAAAAATCAATTTTCTTACCAAAAAAAAAAAAGAAACAGATAGCAGTTTCTTCTATGATCAGAGCCGTTTACATTTTACCTTCACACGGATCCCACCTTACTCCATTTTATGCACTTTCACTACAGTGCTTGGACCCTTGACAGGGCCGCGCGAACGCAGCCCCACACACAAAAATTTAGCTGTTGGCGAACCCCAACTCGGAGTTGCCACACGGGTCAGCCAATGCGAAAGTGCAATGCAAGGCCTCACCATGAAGGTCCCGCCTTGTTGATCGCGAGAACCTCCCAGCCAGGTAAGTTTATGAGACGTCGTGGGTGGTCGCTACATCAGCTCAGGCGCCGTATCATTCACGGGTTGGTCGACGAATGTAGCTCACGACAAGAGACATAGAGATGGGACGAGGCTAGACGGATGGCGCTGGGAGCTGCAGCAGCCGCTAACGTATAATTAACGATGGGTCTTCCCACGCTGCTGCAGAAATGGGGCGCACACGAACCTTGGGATGCCTTGGAAACCTGTCTATTTAGCGCAATATCAAAAGACAAGGTTTCGGAAAAATCGATTTGCCCATGAAAAGCACCACCTACTCTCCTTTCTTGAAAATTATGGTGGAATTCAGAGATTATAATGATTTTTGAAAGGCGGCCAACATAATGATAGCTCCAATTCAAGTGATGTGCTTTTTGTCGTACTTAAGAAATTTTTTGGCCATAGCATGAATACTGTAATATTGACACAGCTTTATTTTCATATTTACTCAATTCTCCTTGCAACTCTGCATCTGAGTGGTGGTTGCTCTTGCAATGCACAGTGACCTTTTTACTTACAAATACAAAACAGTAAGTTATTAGTTTCATCCACATTTAGTTCTGCTATTCTTCACCATACAAACGCGAGCATAATATTAGGTTGATGCATAATTATTGCGGATTTTTTCGCGACTTTTTTTCTCCCCGTACAAT